AGAATTTTTTGAATTATATAAAAACTATGAATATTTTTGTGGTAATTCTTTTTTGCCGTAATAACTAATTAATTTCGGGTTCTATCCCTTTTATGTGTATCTGTCTCTTATGTTCTTTCTGTTCTACGTAGTCTCAGCCTGACAATGCAACAGAACGAGATAACTATAACATATATTAAAACGTATTAGAATTGAGCGTGGTATGCATCCACTTTGGTATAATAAAGAAGTGAAGCGACGCGCTTTAATATGGAAAACTCGTAGCGAAAAGATTGCATTATATTTATGCAGAAAAAACGCAAGCCACGCACTGCGTGAACGGACGAGAACGAATCTCCGACATCAGAAGTTGGATCTCCGTGACACCGATCAACAGGAAAAGACCGTTTTGGTACACTGCTGGAATTTCAACAGCGATATTCAAAGAAGCGCAATTAACGTCGGGCAAACAAAATACAGTTATATTGCCAAAGTTTAAGCCCGATTTTACAGATGCTAATGCTGCCGCTTGGTGGCCTCATTCTAACAGAGAATATCTTGGATGGTAGAGCCTTACTCATTGCGCTCAATGAAGTACTTTACTTAGGAGATATGAAAATTGACCACTATTAATTGGCCTGCATTATGCATTTAATTAGTTTAAGCATTGATTTTAACAAATTGATTTTTGAATCAGAAATATTGCTTTGTGGCTCATTTCGAAGATATTCTTTTAAAGCAGTATTTATGATATGTTTCTGCCCTTCTTAAGGATGACGCGTTTTCTTGTATCGCCGATACAAACATCAAATTTAATCAAATTTAACTTCATCGTTGAATATGATGGTATCCCATTGCCTTTGAATCCAAGACATTCTTTCCAGAGCCCATTGTAAACGCTTCTTTTTTCATTCTTGGCCTACGAGTAAGAGAAGTTATTGGGTACGATGCAGAGGTAATAACAAAACATACTTTATAAAAACCATGGGATTCTATCCCTTTCCGTTGTTCATCTATCTCACAAAGTCATGTGGTTTTCTGCGTAGTTTCGGCCTGACAATGCAACAAAGAGAGATAACTATAGCATATAGCAAAACGTATTATGTGTATAATGTGTCCTTTTTATGCGCCAAAAAAGGGGTAAACTACCTAAATGCAGGCCAAAAAAGCTTAGGTACACTTCGTCTGACCCTTTTACAGTTAGGTCAATTTTTACATTTCAAACGGTAAATATTCTTCTTTTCTTTTCTTCGATTCACATACTTGAGTTATTATGAATTGCAATTGAATTTTTTGTAATTTTTTCGAGAGTAATTGGTCAACATGGGTCGAGGAAAGCAAATCTCACTAGAAACGCGTCAAATAATAATAAATCTCTACATAGAAGGGAAGGGAGTACGCCAAATTGGCCGTACGATCCCCTTCCAGTGTGCAAAATATAATAATATCCTACGGAAAAACGCCAACACTTGAAGTTCAGTTCAAGATCAGGCCGTTCTGAAAAATTGAGTGTCAGAGACAAACGCCAAATCCTGGCCACAATAAACACGGATCCATAAATATATCTGTAACCTCATGAGTTAACGTGCATCCGCAATCTGTGCGAAGTGTGCTCCACAAGGAGGGGTACAATACCCGAACTTCACGCAAGAAACCTTTGATTTCCGACGCCGATAAAAAAAAAAGGCCTAGAATTTGCTCAGAAGCACCTAAACAAGGCAAACTTCAGTAATTTGGTGTGACGAATCCGGAAACGCGATGGTCTGGGGGTGGCCACATCTGGAGTTGGGAAACTGGTATTTAGAGATACCAAAAAGGATAAACATTACTATTTGGGAGCATTGGAAGATAATCTCAAGGAGAGCACGACTAAGCTCCAGTTAGAGGACGGTCGTTATTATTTTCAACCAGATAATGACCCGAAACGGACCTCTTATCCCGAGAGGGGGTGGCTTTTATATAACACAAAGTAATTACATACTACGCCACAGTCTCCAGACCTCAATCCAATTGAGCACATTTAGAATTTACTAAATAAAAGGATCCCAAAATATAAAATATCCTCAAAACATTCCCTAATGTCAGTTTTTAGCTCCAAGTGGGTTAAAATCACCGAAAATCACACCAAACCCTTAGTGCGAAGTATGCGTCCTCGACTGCTTGCAGTAATTGCAGTAAAAGGCGGTCCTACTAAATATTAACACATATTTATATTTTTTTAAGTGTACCTAAACTTTTTTGAGATGTTTTTCTTGTATTTTTACATTTTATTTAGTCTAAGTCAACTGTTTTTTATTGAAATAAGTTGATAAGGTTTTTATGTGGCCAAATATGTAATTAAAAAGGTCACACTAACACTTTTTTTTATTTCGTTTCATTTAACCACTTTTTAATACAGTTAAGTTAAGAAATCGTTGTGTACCTTAACTTTTTTTGCCGACTGTATATATTTTATGCTAAGCGGTGACGGCCCAGTTCTTAAACGATTCTGCCTTCTTTATTTCTCTAATTTCTTGAGCCTACCACCGAACCGCACTCGATGACAGTTACATATGTACGCTGTCGTCCTGCTAAAACGGGACTTTTTCATACCACAAAACATTGATTATTCTTATGAAGTTTCAACGGTCCCGAAACACACAAAATAGAAAAGTCATACGCATTCAAATGCTGCACTACTTAACAAAAACAATCACCATATCCAATCATAAAACTCTCTACTCCTACACGGGTCATACATTAAGTAATTTCGTTAATTAAGAACAGCTTATTGATTTCTGTCGTAGCCAACTTCGCACATAACCGCATTACGGTTATATATTTCGACAGCTGATATAACTAGACTTGTTTGTAAACAATTTTGGAACACTTTTGGGAGTTCGGTCTTGGTTTGGAGAAAGATCAAGTACTTAATTTTCGGCATATTTTACTGGGTAAAATCGCAGTTAAAGCAAGCCGAAAATTGGAGGAGGTGCACAGATAAGATGCGTTGGCCGAACGCCAATGTCATGGTTTGCAAAATTTCGTTCCGGTAATTTTGATCTTGAGGATGCACCATGTCCTGAAAGGCCTATTGAAACCGATGTGATAAATTAAAGTGACTGGTGGATGTAAATCGTCGAATAACTACTCGAGAGATTGATTGATTACGTGTTAATCGTTCACAAGCACATAGATCGTTCAAATTAAATTTCTCGGTTGCCCAGATTGTTATTGTTGTTACTGGAAACGAAAAGTGGGATGCTTATAACAAAAACAGTAAAAAGTGGAAGAGATCATGACCCAAAAAAGATGAACTAGTTCAAACTACTTTGAATGCCTCTACACATCAAAAAAGATTATGTTGTCTGTCCGGTGAGATCTCAAGAGGTTCGTTAAGTTAGAATTTAGGATTTTTTTTTATTTATTATTACACCACGCCTTCTCCCCGCCCCCTTGTTACTTATTAATTCAATTATGAGCGCTTTATACATAATTTTTACTAATATTTAACATAAAGTTTAAAGCACATATTTTTAGATAAAAATTATACACTGCAGTGTAAATTATAAGTTCATTTCGTATGGAAAAATGAAAGAAGGAACAAATATGAAATACAGGGTCAGGGCAGCGCGTCTTGTTATGTTTTATATCATGGCGAAATTCGGTGTAAATGCTAATTTGGTTACTATAATATGATATATTATCGATAGCCGTAGACGTACATATATTCAAGAGTATGAGTATATTATGGACATCAACGACCTTCATACGATTCTCATAAATAAAAAAAAATTTTAACATTTGGCAGTAGCATGGCAAACCCTTTCAAGGGGCAGTTATTATCATTAAAAAGGCATGAAATGGGATCTTATAAAACGAGAGAGAGGAAATAAAATCACATAGTATTGTATTCAATAAGAATGTGACTATTTCGTTTGATCGCTCGCAGCGTACTGGCATTATCATATTAGATATTCCCTTCTTCCAACCTACATATTTGAGTAGTCCCCCCATGTACAGATTTTGAGCATTGAAAGTTTATTCTGTTTATCCAACGTATTCGTTGTATGGTTGGTTGAAGTACTTACCCAACAGCGAGAGCAGACCACAGGCAAGCCAGATTATGAAGCTAACCCCGACGGAACCGGTACGTACCAGTAAGCCAGAGGGTGACACAAATATTCCAGACCCTGGAATCAATTCAAATTGGAAAAAAATATATATTCATTTATTGAGTAAATTAAGTCAATTTAACGATTTCATCCTAATTTTATACTATGACGAGTTTCACAATAAATGTCTACAATTTATATTATATTATTTATTTAGTATTATAAAGATTGTTTTTAGTTACACTTATATTATTAAATTAATTATACGCGAACATGATCTTTTCAGGCGATCTTTATCACTTCTTGTGATCTCTATTTACTTATATTCTTCTTATTCTCGATTTAATAAAATCATAAAGGCCCATTTGACAGTCACTACAATTTACAAACTATTAAATCGAGAGACAATTGTCTTCCCATTCCACACATACATATGTATGTATATATGTCCTCACTTCACAAGACCGACCAACGGCAAATTCTGGGCCTTACAATCTGCACAGACAGCAAGAGCTGTCACATTATCACATTATCATTATCTGCACATTATCATACGATTGCTCATATGTACCAAGTGTGCAAATGTGTGTGTGGATGCTCGTCGTCAAAACATATTCTTTATGCGCCTCAACGCTTTCATACCTTTCCTAGAAATAATCATGAAAACGCAAAGATTTTGTATGAGCAGGCAAACGCTTCTAAGATTTCGGTATACCCTTCACTCAGGCAAGAGCTGGGATCGTCGTGGACAAATTTAAATTTTTAGAGCTGCTGAATTGGATGATTTGAGTCACCATAGAGAGAGATAGTGAAGAGAGAGGTAGAGTGAGAGAGAGTAACACACATAGCGCACAGCCGTGCTTCATATAAAAACGGGACCATTTTGTGCTGTATTTTCACTGCTCGAGCCTCAAGAGATTGAGCCGAGCAAATACGAAGTTGAAAAGTCTCTCATCCACATATTTTCGGCGCTGGAAAAATGTGTAGTCTCTAGCTCTTATATCTTTTGAGATCGACGCGTTCATATATACCGACGGACGTACGGACAGGACTAAATTGACTCAGCTCATCGCCCTGATCAAGAATATTTATACTTTGTGGGGCTGCTAAGCCTCCTTCTGCCTGTTACATACATTTCAACAAAACCATTATATCTGATTTCCCATTGAACATAGGCTCAGAGCATAATAAGACTATGACTGCAGAATTTAAGAGGAGATAGCGCCTGTTAATTAAGACGAAATACAAGGAAACTGATAAGTGACTCTCAAAACTTAAACAAGCAATACATCAAAGAAATTAAGAATATAACAATCCAATACAAACTATCTACGAATTGTTTACAAAATAACCCAATATATAAGCGCCAGTAGAGATTACTCGACACCAGAACCCTTCTATGAACTGATATTTCAATATTTCTTTGATTGTTTTCTGTTCACAGAAGAAACAACACTTTTATGCAGACACGCACACGAACAAGCATTCACACGCACGCGTAAATGATAAGTAATAAGTAATTTCTTTTTATCATAGAACGAGGATGAAGCTATAGACAATAATTTTAGATTTAAGTTACTTACCTATCATAGTTCCGACGATTAAAGCCACCCCACTGAAGAGGCCCAGCCTGTAAGAGTTAATGAATAAAATACAATTTAAAACAAGTAAGAAACATCTATTCGAGGCTGCTCGACTATGAAATCCTCTGAACCCTTCGAAGAATTGATATTTCACAATAATTCTTCGAAGCTATCTGCTTATACAAGAAACATAAACAGAAAAACATAGCCGTGCAAGTATAAACAAGCATTGGCTGCAGTGTGGGCTTACTATGGAAAATTAATTTAAAAAATTAAAGTGCGTGCATGTGCCAAATGCAAATGAAGGGGTGAGGAGTAGGAGTAAACACATTCAAACACACAGTTTGTATGGGATACTATGATAAAAATTGTCGAATTGAATTGTAGAGTGGCATTTGCAGATGAACAATGGACTTCTATCCTCTGATTTTTTTTTGAGAATGATAACTGTTATAAAACAACAAATTTTTCAATTTGATTGAAATAATTTAAGAAAGTAAAATGAGATTATTGGTTTTGTGCTAACCGTCTTGCGATCTGTCCGTCTGTCCAAATGATGGCAATTTTTTCGGGGCTATTGAGACTAGAGACTTGAAGTTTAGAACACATACTAGTGTATATATCCGTTTTATTGAGTGATAACAATTTTCGCGATCCGCTCACTAGTGGCGTGGCAAATCGGACATGAAGATATAGTGATTATTCGAAATCTACTATATTTTGGACACCATTGATGCTAGAGAGCTCAAATTTGGGATATATACTCGGTATACTCGATATATACTCGTACTACCTAAGACCAAAAGGCTATGGCGGATATGTGTCCGCCCACAGGGGGCGTGACCGCAAAAATGTATATATATGACAGTTTAATACCTAGAATATTCGAATTCGGATATTTGAGTTACTGGTGAAATCCTCTATCGATGATCTACAAATAATTATTACTTCCTTTTAGGAGCGTGGCATAACGAAAAATACTCTGTAATTTTCACATTTTTTGAGTGTATGCATCGGAGTTAAGCTACTTATGAAACGTTCGAAGAACTGGCCAAAAATTATGCGTGTTTGACCAGTCGGGGACCAAAAAAATACACTCCTAAATTGCTGATAGAATCTTTTATTAATGTGCAAAAAATGAATTTACATATATACATACATACATACAGTGACGAGCAAAACTGTAACACGAAGTTAATGGTGTAACTTCAAGGGTCTGTATTTTCGCTTCTACTCTATGGATGTTCAAGATCTTAATTTTATTTGATTAGCAGACGGGCGGACGGACAGACGGACGGGGCTACATCGACTCAGCTCATCGTGCTGATCAAGAATATATATACTTTATGGGGTTTGCGATGATTCCCTCTGCCTGTTACATATTTTTACACAAAAACATTATACCCTGATTTCCCATTTTCAATGGGTTCAGGGTATAATAACTTTAACATTAATTACATTATTTATAGAGGAATATGCAGTCCTAGCTGCACGTAGCTGTTGGCCATTGCAACAAAACGCGTGAAACTGTGATAAATGTGGGATGTTCGTAACATTGTTCCATTTTTTATCCAATTTATAATGTAGACATAGCCTTTCGATTTGAACTAATGGCAAAAAATATATTTTAATGCCATTAACAATATTTTTTTGCAAATTCATAAAATGAAAATGCATTAGATAAAATAAGGCTCTGAGATTTAGTTACTTGCCATGCTTTTTTTTTTGTGGCAGCTCCAACTCGATCAACGGCACCCTTCCCGTGAGAAGTGGCTAAAAAAATTCCATTCAACATAACATCTTATTTCTTTTATGATGTCATTTAAGCTAGTTAAGATGTATTTATTTTTAAATTGAGCGCAACTTCAATTGATAGTTTTGTAAAATTTCCATACATTTAATTAATTTTACGTAAAGGACTCAAAACAAAAATACGTCATATTTATTATGTGTAAGTTTGTCACTTAAAAATTGTTACCTGACGGTAGCTAAAATGAGCACTCTGATTCTCATTTTGTAGTGCTAGCCTGTAATTTTCGGCAAAATCTATTTGAATACCAAGTTCAAAGGCATTTCATTTACAATCATAAAATATATTCGAAGTTTAATTATTTCCAACCTAGATTTAAAATTCACTTTGGTTTATTTAAATTTTGTATTTACGGTGTCGAAAGCTACGCACTTTAAATAAAACACTATGATTAAATAACTTAATATTTTCGTGTGAAACTTTTTTAAAATGTATTTGCAATGCAAAACTATGTTTGCTACTAAATTTTGATGCTAGTTGCGCAAATGCGTTTGACTTACTGATACCAAACCCTATTTTTCGAGGTCGCAGGTGACATCGAAATATACGGCGAAACAGACGAAAAAATTTACCGTATAGTCAATTGCATCGTACCTTTTATATTTTTCTTTTACTCTTTAAGCATAAACGAAGATTTGAAATAACATATTTCATTGCATAATTAAAAGAAAATGTGCAATAGAAATGCTCAAAACATAACTTTGGCACTTGATCGGCTTTGTGTGTCAATATTTCGAGATGTGTTATGAATAAATGTAAAATTAGTTTATATTAGTTAAATTTAATCAATTGAATTTGAATTTTTGGCTGTGGTTGAAATTTCTGGAGAAATGCCCATCTAAATTTCTATGAATCTTATTATACTGTTTGTTGACAATGCTATTTTTACCTTCTCTCGAGGTGAACAGTGTCGTTCTGCGTTGAGCCATTCCTCTCCAACGGCTTCCGCATCCGCCCGGTCCCTGATGAGTCGGTCTCTGTCGCTTCGGGCCCCTCTGGTCCAATAGACCCATTGGCATACATTGTCCCATTACTCGTTGCTTTTGATGACACATTATGTCCTACATTATTCCGTCAGCCGCACATATAAAAAAAAGCAAGTGATCTTTGAGAAATCTTAGATTACTAACAGTTTTTTTTATACACATATGTATATATTAAACGATTATTTTTAAGTATATTAAATATTTTCGTTTGACAACAGATAATAAATCTAGTTATCAATACACAAGAAACAGAAATTGCACATTCTCAGCCACGAATAAATACACAACTGTGCAGTTGACGAAGCGATTACGCTTGGACTGCAAATTCATTCATATATGTAAATATATCACAAATTGTGCACATTCCTGAATTTCGGAAATTGTTCTATAACCTTTCTCTCACCCACCTCTATTATCTTTTGCAGTATTTTTGATTGCGTTTTTTTGCAAGCAAAATAGTTGAGTAATTTTATCGCGCATGGCATGGACGGATAAGAAATAGCCTAAATTATTTCGTCACGAATTTTTTTGTTCTCAGCAAAGAATATATTGAACGAATGATGTCAGACAGCCAGAGAGCGTGCTATATGGTCGATTAATCAATGGCAACTGTTGGAATCGTTTTCTAGCGTCTCATCAAATACCACACAATAAACTCACGATGTGATTGCGACACGAACAAAAGACGAGGCGTCGAATGTCGTAATGTGGAGATCTCTCGTATACACCGGACGCTCTCCTGTTTATTCCTCCTGTTTACTTTTACTTGAGCTATATTGACAAGGTTCCGAAGTCCGAAGTTTACTTTTACTTGAGCTATATTTACAAGATTCCGAAGTCCGAGTTCTCTTGCTTTTACATTTCATTTTATGTCTAAAATAAAAAATATCTTATGATTTTTCGGCTTTGCTTGCCATTTCCGAAAATGTTTGCAAAGAGCTACATATTTTTTTATAGATTTTCTTGTCTCTATACAGAAAAGTTGTACAGCTACATATTTATTAAAGCCAAAATTAACATACTTTTTTTTAAATATATTTTGTATGTATTCTGATGCTATTTATAACAGCGGTCTGCATGCACGTTTAAGAAAATATGAATTAAATATTAATATGTATATATTTTTGTTCATAAGGTGAAGAGTATTTGTGTTTAGCGCAACATAGAAAATGAAGTATTTAATGGATATTAAAGTTGAGCAACAAATGTATGTATTTAACGTAGGCCCTGGCGTCATAGATATAGAAAAACTAGATTCCTAAATATATATATGCGCAGGTAGCTAGGGAAAAAAAATTAGAGTGGTTTGACGAAATTCAACCAGATGTGTTACATTTAAGCACTTTCACTGATCTATAAACTAAAACACGTATATAAACTAAGTTGATCATCATTTAAAAGCTGTATTAAATGGAAGTCCTATATCTACACAATACATATGTATGTATGTAAATATGAATGGTAAATTGGTAAAGAAAACTTTTGAAAAAATAAGCTATTTTTGGCGATGAAACAATACCTGAACAGCCGCAATCTTTTTAGATGTGTTTTGCATATGTATGTATGTGTGTATATATGTATATACATATATATGTAATTTTGTGTTCACTCCTCTTATTGTGTTACCCTTTAGAATAATATGAATTTGAATGCCGTAATATAATTGCCTGCCAACTGGGTTCACAGTCTGTCTCGGAATTATGTTAAATTATTGCGGGTAAGAGCAAGCAGCATTAATATACATATACATATTTGCATGTATATGTATTCTTATGAGTATATAAATATCTTTTGTGTGTCGGCTATTCTACGAATAATAATCGATAATCACTTGGACATAGCTAAAAAATAAAATAAGAAAGAAAGCTGTAGCGAGACTGCTCGACTACGAGATCCCCTGAACCCATCAAGCAGCACACACACATTTACACATTTATTTTTTGAATAATTTAATTTCTAGACATACAATCTTAACCCTTTATATGGCACCACGTCCGATTTCGACGCGGTTTCTTTTATTAGATAAGAAAATAAAAATAAAAAATTCAACTTTTTTTTTTAATTTTACTTTTTTAGACATTTATTTAAGGATAAAAGAATTGTTGCATATATGCAACAGATAGGCTTGTGGTGAAAATAATTGAAGTATTTCATAGTTCATTGTAAGAAGTAAAACCAAATATTTTTCAAAGTTAGTTTAATAATATTATTGATTAATTAATTTAATGCAAATGAAAATTTTTTAAACAATTATTTCTATTGTTAAAGCAGACACATTTTTCGCAGATTGTCTGTGAAAAACCAGTGCAGTTTGGATATTTGCATCTGTTTCTGTTGTCAGTCCACGATGGCCAATGCCCAGAATTCCTCCTTCCGCCAGGTACTTCAAAAGGAGGAAGGAGTTGAAATAATTTTCAAAGTGTAATCGATAATTCCTATCTGACGACACAGTTTGATGCCGCACCCAAATCTGGCTCTTTAAGCCGTACTTTATTTTCATTTGCACTATCTATTTCGAATTTGTAGCAGAAGCCTAAATTACCGCTAAGTACAAAAATCCTATAGTCCCATTTATGAAGCTTGTTGGGATTGTACCTTTTCATGTGGCTCTTAGCCTTTGTTGAACATATCTGTTCATCAACACACAAAAATTGTTCCAAAAGAACTTTTTTAAAATTTTTGTTTAGTTCATCTATTATTGGCCTGATTTTGAATAGCCCATCATGACAGGAGTGTGACAATGGCAGGGCATTGTCATTGTTGTTAAAGTGAATGTGATGCCTAATCATCTCAAATGTTTTTTGCGTTTTTTTGGAAAAAGATACCAAAAAAATTGGATTGGCTCTGATAGTTCCATTAATTCCGGATGCAACATAGTGATCCCGGGAAACTGCAGTTGGTTTTCGTTCAAAATTAAACTGCGTTGTCTCCATAGCAACTTTCTTTTCAGATTAGGGTCATTACTGGTAACATTTGGTTTAGAATCATCCATGAGGTTTGAGTTTAAAACGTCTAAGGCACTACTCGGTGGATTTTGGTCATCGATATCATCTTCATCCTCCTATCTAAACTGTTGAAATAATGCATTTTCAAGCTGTGAAGGTGTTAAACCTTTTCTTGTCATATTTCCTGCGTAAGAAGTGCTATTTGTATATATGTAGTCTCAAAAAACACATACAACTGACCCAAGGCGCGTCGCTCTTATCAATAATATATATATTTGATGGGGCCTGCTACGCCTCGTTCTCCCTGTTATATACTGCATACTCGTGTATATCATACGCAGTAAGAGTTTATCCTATTTTTTCAATAAATCATCAAATAACTTTTTATCGAGAATAAACGAAAAATTGATTCTGTTGTGTCATTTACTTGTGTATATACATAAATTGAACACAAACATTTTGTATAAACATATATATTTATTTTAAGAAATTTAATGGAGTGATACAATGAGTTTATGTAGCTCAGCGAAATCTCGTTCCAAGCATGTTTAATTGTAGCAGTTAGTTTGTTAGTTAGTTTTCTGTCTTCGTATTGTTGCCTCCTTCAAATACTTTCCCAAAAAGCCATTCCCAAACATTTACAATTATTTAGAGATCTGAGGAATACGGTGGCCAAGTCGTGGCCTGAGCATTTTCACTCGTAATAAATGACTTCACAACTCCAGCGTTATGGATCGCAGCATTATCTCGTTAGAAAATCAATGGCAAAGGTCCGTAGAGATCGATAATCATAGAAAATACGGAGTACAGCAAAGTTTTGAAGTCTCTAGTATTTGATATACGACTTTTACAAAGATGAGGGTGAGGGGTGGATATAAGGGCGGGAGGGTAAATTTTAACAAAAACCGAAATTGTATAAAATGCGTCTTAATATATAATTAAAATTTGGACACTCTAGATTTAAAGATGTGAGAGATAAATTTTAATAACTGATCTTCGATAAGGTTTTTTATCGATAAAAAATTTCGGAACGAGTTATCGTTTTTAGTGATAAACTCGATATGCGCGCGATATATACGGAAATTTTTTAAAAAAAATTTTAAGTCTCTAGCTCTTATATCTTTTGAGATCGACGCGTTCATACATACGGATAGACGGACGGACAGACAGGCGGACAGGGCCAAATCGACTCTGTCGCCCTGATCAAAAATATATATACTTTATGGGGTCTGCCACGCCTCCTTCTGCTTGTTACATACTTTTAACAAAACCACTATACCATGATTTCCAGTTTTCAATGGGTTCAGGGTATAAAAATGTACAAATGATGCTGAAAAAACAGAATCAATTTTTCGATTATTTTCGATAAACAGTTATCGGATGATTTATCGAAAAACGCTTTTTTCTAGCTTTTGTATCTTCTGAGATCGACGCACTCATACGGATGGACGGACAGGGCTATATCGACTCAGCTCGTCGTGCTCATCAAGAATATATATACTTTGTGGGGCCTGCCACGCCTCCTTCTGTCCGTTACATACTTTTGCACAAAACCGATTTCCGATTTTCAATAGGTTCAGGGTATAAAAATATTCCTTATTGTTACAATAGCCATTGTTTTTTATTTTTACATAGTATAATATAATATAATAATTTTAAGATGGCTTTGATGGGCTAGATGTAAAGGGGGCGCTAATCTGATAATGCGCAGTTTACATACTGATTGACGCTTTGAAGTTGAAAATATGAGCCAAAAATAATAAATATGGAGAAAACTCAATACAGCTCTACAGCTAAAAAATTTTACTCCAACTGTGAAGCGAATCTGGAGTTGGGAAACAGGTTTTTATAGATAGCGAAATGGACAAGCATTACTATTAGGGAGTCTTGAAAAATAATCTCAAGGAGAGTTTAAATATATAATTTAAAAGATCTCTTTGACACTTTTGTTTATTTTGTTTCATTTGACCACTTTTTAATAGAGTTAAATTGAAAAATCATTGTGTACCTAAACTGTTTTTGCCGACTGTATATATATATTCTTTAATCAATTGGACATGAAATTATTCTTTTCTATTTTTACCGAGTACTTTGCTCTCACAATGATAAATTTTCAATTTGTGCTCTTTTTGCCGTATATTGCGTTGCCCAGCAAATAAATTGATCATTTTGTAATTATTAGGTCTGATCATTAGCACCACCATCATCAATTAAATGGAAAAACGAGGGGTATCATCAAAGTGGTATGAAGTTGACGTTTCACGAGCTAAACAAGAATCAATTGAGTTAAATTGAAATGCGCACCGACAACCAAAAGTAGTCCGACAAGCGTGAAACGAAAGCAAATGTCGAGAAATCATATTGCAAGTTTAAAAAAACTGCAGAAAATTACCAAGATAAGATTTAAAGCATTTACGAATAAAAAATTGACAAGCTGATGCATTCAGATTTAATCTAATTTGAATAGAAGAAGATTTGTAATAAATACACTTTCACTGCATGACAGCATCAACTCGAAAACTCCTATGCTTTAAGGCCAGTATTAATTATATATTAAGTTTTAGATATTAAACTAATATATATATTTTAATATATACATTTTTTTTTTCGAGAGTTAG